CCTGGCTGCGTTTCAGGGCGTGTTTGCTTGGTGCCTTGTGAAAGACGGTTTGCAGCTGCTCGTAACCTTTCTACTCCTCCCCCGTGGCTAGAGTCATCACGCAATCCTTCAGATGCTGCCTCTTCCACCCTATTCTTGTGCTGTCCTTTCCTCATATGCCGTGCTTTCTGATGAGCATATGAAAATGTAGCTACACATTGGGGGTAGAGGTCACACTTGAATGGCCTGTTGTCATCCGCCATACTGCCAAAGATACCAGCAGCCCTGCAGGGTTTTTGCTCAATCAAAATCTGTATTATAGAAGATTCGTACAGCACACCAACTCCTAGCTGCTATCTGTCACTCTAACTACAGCCCCTACATGCAAATGCGGCCTGGCAGAGGGGACGCTTCTCGGCAACCTTCTGCACACCTGCAGGAGCACACCAAAACACATACAAAACATGCCAGAATCGTCTTAGACCACAGAACAATGTGGAACAAAACAGAAGTTACCAACACAAAAAACCACACAAACAACGTTCAAAGCGGATTGCAGATTGGGTGTGCAACCATGAAACATTTCCTCACCAGGCAAAAAGAGTACGAGTAGATGTTCGGAGAAATGTGGATCTCTTTAAAAGCGAACCTGCAGACACGAAACAATAGTTTGAATCTATTTACATGCATAGACAGTTCAGTCAAAGAGTGCACATGAACATAGTTTACGATTTTCCAAAGACGTAGATATAAATAACCAGCACGCTAAAGAGGTGATACAAAATGAAGCAATGTTTCTGTGGATTTAAAACATAGAGAACACAAAAAAGCGATCAAAGGGTTGTGAAACGAGAAAATACAAGTAATAGATGAATAATTCCACCCGGGCCAATCACATACCTGCAGACTAACAGATCAATCGTCGCAGGATAGAACACATCAGCGGGCCAACAGAAAAATCCAAGTAAGCTGGGAGGGAAATTGTCGATCTGAGAGAGTAAAATGGGAGGGAAAAATCCCTGAATGAGAGAATGGCCAGTCGAGGAAGAGTACCCCCTGGCTGGTTGGTTGGGAAAAGGGTGAGGGAGGGGATGGGGGTAGGGAAATGGGACCTAACATTCATGTTTTGAACCTAGCCAAAATGTTGCGAGTAGTTCTCAATGCAGTTTAAACATGATAATCCGTACCCCACTGCACAGTTCTGAAAGCGCACACGAAGAGAAATATGGGCAAGGTCGACCAAGGGTAGGAGTCTAGTTCCCATTGGTCCAGAACTGAATGTGCCGATTGCCCTCCGCCAACCAAAAAAATGTCGTTCAGCGCTGGCAAGGGTCGTTGTCGCTTTCACTAGCGACGGGTTGCGTGCGTCGGGCTGATTGGGCTCCGGGGAGGAGGCTGCACAAACATATAGGACGGAACGTCAACATACATCGGCCGGACATTGCTCCTTGAACAGCAACACATACAACTAGACCACGTAAAACTTCAAGGGATGAGCATCAACCGACCCACACTTACACCTATCAGAAGTGACGCTTGTCGGTGCACGTACAGCCGCCTTCTTATCCCTCGCGCCATTTGCCCTCGGCACAGGCGGCCTCCTGGAAGTCCCAGGCACCACATAGTGTGTGAGGTGCTTGGGTGGCTTGGACACTCGCTGACGTTTCCCCTCCCTGGACGCCCGGATGCTGTCGTTGCCACTGTCCATATTGGCTGTGGATTCTGGACGGTTGGTGTCCAGAATGACGAGATTTCCAGCCTTTGTGCACTGATCGGACAGAGCTACACGTCTGTGTCCAGAGTTTTGCGGACAATGACGTGGTGGATGAGTCTCCTGTCGGAAATCTGCCAGCCAATCGGGCGTCGACACCAACCCACATCCTTCTATCGACTCAATGGGTGCCTACTCGTGGCCAAACCACCACCTCACAAACTCTGCACCTTCATTCACGTACATACACCTTAGTGTTACATGTTGGGATTTCCATAACTAGGTCTAATACCAAAAATCATCACAAAACGTTATCAATATCCTCTAGTTACACCACGGAAAAGATCCCACAACGTCAAACACCATCCACACAAATCCAACACATATCAGGGCGTGCGCATGTCTACCACTTCACCATCCGACCCTTCCCCAGGGGACACTTCTACGCTCTCCCCGTCCGCAGCTGCCGGCTCCCCTGCTTCATCCACACTACAGCACCGGCGGCGCGCCTGTGAGTTCGACTCGCCACCCTTCTCCAGCTCAAATGGTGTTCCAGGCTTGATCCCTATGTCATCCATTTCCTTCCGCCATTCCCTCCACCGATACCACTACCGTTTATGCACGAGGTGTCTCATGTCATCCTCAATGCACCCCTCCAGCGCTGCCATCTCGCCCGCTGTTAGTTCCATGACCTTGGGAAAGGTATCCTTCCTCCGTATCACGAATGCTCCTGCGGCGTACGCGTACGCCGCGTCCTCCTCCCTCTGGTATGCACCCAGACGAATCTGACGTCCAGTTCTCGGATCGGCCGTTAACTTTGTGCACCAATTCCGTACCCGCGTTTCGAACCAGACTCCCGTGTACTCACTCGTGCCCCCCCTCTTTTTCTCCCCGGAGACAGCAGACGCCGTTGACTTCGCCGCTGCAGATCGTGGCTTTCTCAATCCAACGCCTCCACCCTTGTCTGGTGAGGTATCAGGGGTGTGCGGACCCGGTGTCTCAATGCTGTCCTTGCGCGCCTTGAGAGTTGCGCCAGTGTCTTCCTGCTGTCGGCGGGCCCATATCGCGGGGACAGGACGTAGTGGCTCGGGTCTCTCGTGCAGCATATCGGCCAGGGTGTCCTGTGCGCCCTGTCGCTCCGCTAAGTTCTCCGCCGCGGACGACCGTCGGAGAAGAGGCGTCCCACACGTGCTCAGCTCATGCGCACATGCGGCCCGGAGCTCCGGTACGTCATACCCCAGTGCCTTTGCGATGCTCGTGACCGCTGAGGCCAACACGAACCCTCCCAGCTCCAGGTTGGTACGCTCACGCAACATCCGTGCCAGCTCCAGGCGCACGTCATCATCATTTGGGAACATCAGTACCCCCTGGTCTCCCACCACTGGAATGGGCTGAAGGGGCACGTCAATCTCCTCCAGTAGTAGTTGCATCATCAGCTCCCCAGTAACGAGACTGCATACATTTGCGCGCATGCCACGCCGAAAGTCCTTGGCCGTGACAGTGTCACATGACACCCACGTGCGAACCGTGGTGAAATCCGACCTTACGAGATATTTCATGTACATGCACACAAAAACACCGCAGTCCTTGTCGTTGCTCTGCTGTGGAATCCCTTCTTTCTGCCAGGTTTACATGGTGGGAAAGGGTCGTTAGACAACACTCAATGAATCTAGTTGGTGATTCATCACATCGAACAGGAAGGCGACCACCGTCACACGACTGCAACATTCCTCACCGGTATGACTATGTGCTCTGCTTCCCGGATTTTCGCAGCAGCTTTGACAGGGTCGTCCGTTGGCAGCTGCGCCTCGTGGATCATGAATAGTGTCCTGAGTCAAGGACAAACATAGGTCAGCCGTCGTTCCTTCGGACAACTGCGTACAGCAGGATGCACAGTACCACAATCACTTACTTCCTCACACCATCGATGATGGTTGCGTCCTTGGCGTGCATGCCGTCACTGTCGTAGTGCACAAGCTTGACACCTTCCGTCACGTTGTCGGCTCGTTTCCCAGATGACATTGCTGCGAGGTTTAGAGCAACCACCAGTGAGTAGTGGCTCCTGCACAGGAATACGATGGCAGGCCCACACAATCAGCAACGCCATAGGTACAGTGGCAACGGCTATTCATGCGTGAAAAAAAAACACCCACCTTGCAATGATTGGAATGGCCACGTAATCCACATCGAAAATACATGGTGACCCTCCCATCGGCCAGGTCCTGTCCAGAACCGTTGCGTATACAAACGATTTGGTGTCGAGCGGAAACCACGTCTTCCTGTGTTTCAGTTTAGGATGTCTGATGGTAAGAAGTCTGCACGCACGGCCACAACACTCAGATGCGACTCTGATTCATGCGTGGAAACATAACGCCAGTACAAACGATCGGCCGGTGGAATCTTACATGCTGTGGAAATCGACTATGGTGTCGGCAAGATACTTCCCGTCCGCAATAGAAAGAGCGTAATTTCCTGTGAGCTGACATCCAACCCCGTGAGGGCCAAAGAGGGTTAGAGTTATGAAATCTTGACGCACCGCCGGGTCTCGTAGTCTCTTAATCAAGTCGTCTGGCTGGTCGTCTACGGGCGACCCACGGCCTCCGACGTTCCACCCCTGTGCAGATGACCTTGTATCGCGCGTTTTATCCCCGCCTTTCTGCAGGTCAGCATCGGGCGTCTTTGTGTCCGGTCCCGGCGGGTGAGTAAGCATACGAGCTATTAGGCCCGTAACGTGTGGACCGCGTGGAGGAGACCCTTCCTTATCCTTGCGCTTAGCACCCCGTCCACGAATTCTGTTCATGCTGGACACAAACTACAAGGGACATAAAGCGTAAGGCCGAAACTGATATGGACTGAACAGGCAAGAGCATACGCTTTTTATCTAGCTGCTCAACCTACTACACGGACACTTTTGGCCTAGTTCGGAAGAATGGGTTGGAGAGGATGGTTTTGGAATGCGGAGCGGACGGAATTCGGACAAGCAGAGACATCGCATGACGTGTCCACGTATCCACAGGTGGTGAATGCGCGCCAAAACAGATGGTTATGGATCCGAGGTTTTGGTTTTGGTTTCGTGATATCCAACGAATTAACGTCTGCTCCGTAACAAAGTGTTTTCGCCGAAAATTTACAGCAAACACTAGTACAGCGAGGATAGTTCATATCACAGCGAAGCCGCTGCAAATCAAGATAGGCAAATCAACATTGTCCGAGCTGTACCTTGTCACATCACATGAACATCTGGCATGTTTGCAGGTGTGGTTGGAAGCGTCCGGACTGGTGACGTACCTTTCATAGCGTGTTCCGATACAAACATGCAAATAATATCTTAAATAAACAACACAACACCATACTAACACCGTGATATCCAGCTGTTCACAAGCAGAGAACGCTTGGTTTGTTTACCCTTGACACACTCTAGTAGCTGCTTCCGCTGATGGATGAAGCAAGAGGTGAGCTCAGACACAAAAGGCCGGCTGTGTCGTCGCTAGAGCTGTCACTGCATATGGACCTCCCATGTCCGGTGGTGGCACGGCGAGCGCGTTTAAGGGGGGTCCGACGAAGACGCTCCACCACTTCGTCGTTCTCGACCCCTACTCGCTCAGGGATGTCGCGTGGACTTATGCCCATCTCTGCCGCCGTGCGGACATACGACTGCGTTACCGCCCGCACCAAGCGCCGTCGGGTTCTAGGGTCCCGAGAAATTATGCCTTCGGGCATGGGACGCAGTGCGGCCGATCCTCCCGCGATAGACGCCTCCAATGGTGTCGGCCGTCCAACGGACGACAGTAGCCGACCGTCACATGCGGCATAGTCCGTAGCGGCCATGAATCGCGGCGCACCTCTGGCGAACCGGTCGATGAGGACCTGCAGCTGTACCAACTGCTTGATGAGGGGCTCGCGTGTCACGGCTGTAGGCGGGTATTCGGTTAGGTGGAGGAGCTCGCGCCACGCCAGGGGCATAACGCCAGACCGTGCCCACGTGAGATGCACCGCCCAAGGCGGCGTATGGCGCCACGCCCTACCCACCCAGACCAGCAGGTTGTCGTACAGAATGAGAGGAATTAAACCCTTCGCGCGCCACTCTGCGTCCGTGGTTACGAAGGACAGGTAAATGCTGCGGAAGATTGTCTTGAACATCTCGAGTACGCTGTTGAACCAGGGGAAGTTGACAGGGTCCACGACACCGCCAATGTTAACGATCAAAGTGTTGGATAGCTCCTGCACGGGGAACCCCGAGACAACGGCCTCCTTAGACGACGCGTCCAGAGAGCGGTGGAACCTGCCGGAGACGAGAAGTAGAGCCGTCTTGTTGTGCGCAAGCCGGTCACCATTGAAATTGCCAATGTACTCGCTGAAGAACTGAAACATGGAAAGCGCACGGTAATGGTGAGAACATGCGCTACTGCCGCATGGCCAACAACTCGGCGTCGTTTCCGGAATACCATTGGGCATACCTCTACGGACAACTCGCCGCTCTTTGTCTGACGAAGATGCACGTGGTCGCCCTCGCGGAGGCCGTGTCGGTACGGGCGAGCGCCATTGCGTCGCCTGACTACGGTCGGAGGTAAGACCATACTCCCCGAAGCGTTGAAGAGGATACACACGTGCAGCTCGACCTTGGGCTTGTACCCCGAATCAGGGTCGAAGTAGCTGCTATACGGCAGCGTTGTAGCGAGCAAGGGGGTCTCCACAAAGCAGAAGACGTCATCGGGACGGGCCTGCAAGGACTCAAGAAGGTGCACCAATGCAGCCATGGCGGACTGTCGTATGCTACCGAAAACGGGCGGACGGTGGCTTATAGTACGTTGCGGTACGTGAGAGAGGCCTGGGAGGAGTACAGTGGGGTGGACATTGGAGTGTCCACCTCCGTGATACTATCCTCGTCCAGCCCAGTGGATCATGGTGTGACACGTCACTGTCTCAGTTGGTGGACACCGATTTGTCCGGCACGAGAATTGTGTCCACCGTGTGGATGAGGTTCCCTTGTCCACACAACAATCGCTCTTCTGGACGGATTGGCTTAGCCACCAAGGTGGCATACATGTGGTTTGTACGATGTGAAATTTTGGTGTGTCAGTGTAAAACGTTGCAGAGATGCTAGGAGCGAGGACGCAACAAAGAACCATATCGAATGCTGACGGTCCACTTACAATGTAGAACACTGTGGACCAGGTCTAACGAGGTGTTGCAATTTGCGATGCACTGCATCGGCACGGGACGAAAGGAAGCCTCCAAGCAGGCGAGGGCCGAATTCGGGCAATGATTCGGCAAAGAAAAAAATATCAAAGAATGTTTACGAGAGTTACCTGCTAAGGTTATAAAGTTTTTACAAGAATGCTTATAACGTTTTTACACGTTTTCTGTAAAAAATTCACGCCTCCTTGATTTCCTGGAGCCTTCCTAGACCCGTGCCACGAGCCGAGCCGATGCAGTGCACCGCGAATTGCAACACGCCGTAAAGTCGGGCGCAAAGGGTGTGTTCTCACGTCTTTAGAAATAAGTTCTAGAGCCCTGTTTTGCTTCCAACTGCGCGGTGGTGTGCGAAACATGAAACGTAACCATGTTGTTTCCAAGTCTGGAGGCACGAGGTGGGAATAGGGTTCGATGAACCTCGCTGCTAGGCTTACAACTCCCTCATGCAGCGCTAGTTGTTGTTTCTTTCACCTCTATTAAAACCCCTAAAGTCCGTGTAATATTCCCATTTACATTGGCCTAGCCTCCCTACGCCAACGTGACATCGTACATATGCATGTCGACCTTCGATTGCGCTAGGTGTGGCGCTGCACTACCGAATGAAGCAGCACTATACGCGCACCGGGCCCACAACGTCCATTGCGCCGGCCTGCCTGCGTTGCCCGAGTTTTGTGGGCCGGCGAAGATGCGCGCGCGCGCGCGCGCAGATGTACACGCGATCGAGACGGACGCTGAGGGTTCATTGCAGACAGATGTTGCACAACTGCGATGGCTACTTAACCGATGTCACACAGGGGGAATGTCACGCAGGGAGATAAACGGGCTGCTGCGCACCATAAGGAACCCTCATTTTTCTCTGCGACAGATACATCGTCTGCGCTTTGGGAGGAGAGGGGATGTTGGCTTTTGAGGTTGCGGTAAACGCAGGTGGGCCAGGAGTCTCACTCGAGAGCATATATGACACCATATGTGGTCTGTCGTAAAGGGACCAAGGGTCTGTGATCAGGGCTTAGTGCATAGCCCCTGATGTATTATTGTTTTGTACCATGGAATGATGGTTTAGCACGATGTCTGGGTGGGCACAGAGATTAGGTTAGCCAATTGGGGAAGCTGGGCTTGCATTGTGCCACAATTCTAGGATGTTGGCGGACATGGGACCATGTGTGTAATGTGGTGCCAAATCCATGGATGCCTGCGCTGGATGCGTGACTCTTGTGATTTTCGAATTATGTAGAACCAGGTATGTCAGCTAGACGTGATAATTTATCAAAGTAGATGTGTACTAAATGTATTGCACTCTTAACGGAAAGCATTGTAAAAAAGTTGAAAACAGCTAGACTCGTGGCGAGACCATGTTATCATTGTACCGAACTGGTTCAGTGTGCACGCCGTACGTAACAGGCTTGTACACCGATGATGCAAAAGAGGGCGTCACATGTCCAACCACTTACAACCGGGGGATGACCAAACTGTTCGGACAAACTGCTCAGACATAGACAGAGACGCGTACACCTCCGATGAACCGTACAGTGGTTGTCCCGCCTCTGGGTTAGGACGCAGCAATACAATTTGCACTCCTTTGACAGAATCAGCGTGTTAAGTCACGCGTAGAATTAGGGTTTGTTAGTACCCAGTGGAGCTATGTTGGGCAACGCCTGCGAGGCGTGTGGGGCCGAGCACGTGCATGACAATACTCTGCAGTCTCACTTGGCGGGCAACACACGATGCAGACGTAAGATCAACCACGCTAGGGCGGAGCGGCTCGTAGAGGCGTATAGAGAGGCAGTACGAGCCATGCGAGGCGAACGCCCACCCTCACCTGCCAGGTCCCGTCATTCTGACGCCGCCGGAGAGGCAGAAGGACCCGCACGCCAGCATCCGGCAACAGAAGATCCACTCGCGGACGCGATTGCGCAGAACGACGATGCGGAGAGTGACATAAGTAGTATTGACGACGGTTTCGACACTCTAACTGAGCTATACATTTTTTTCCGTGACGCTGACCTGTCGAGAAGGGAGGTTAACAGGTTGCTCAACATATTCGCGAACCCCCGATTCTCTGTGCGAGATGTCCGACGGTGGATGAATTTTGTCGACGTGAGGAGGTTCGGGAAGATGATGGCTCCGCCCGATCTTGTGCCCTGGCAGAAGACCGTAATCAAATGCTACTGTCCCGGTGGGAAAATGGCAAACCTTCTGCTACATTTCAGGAACACGGAGCTGGTGAGTTTGAGGCTTGTGACATGGGGTGTGCTATTACTTGTCCGTCAATTGCGGTGGCGACACACTTTAGGGTTGACATCCTGTGTTGTCGAGTAATGTGCATTGCAGTTGGTGCAGAAGCTAGTGCGCACGTTTGTACACTCAGAGGGATTTGTGACGGAGCCGCGGAGGGACAAGGATACGGAGGAAAAGAGGCATGTCAGCTCCCCCGACACCGGAGTATGGCTGGAACAGGCTCATGCTAGCCGCCCGGGGCAGGAGGGGATCATTATGGGTGTGATCGTGTACAGTGACAGTACGCACGCGAGTGCCAACGGGAGGCTACAAGCGTGGCCAGTCCTGATAAGTCTAATGAACATCCCTGAGGCACTGAGATGGTTAGAGCCAGGCCACGTCATGGTTGGCTTGCTGCCTTTCCCACCGGACTGGGCCATGTCCACCGAGAAGACCCGTAAGTTTCATGAGGTGATGGCTATTATATTCGAGCCTCTCTTGAGGGAGCATCGAGGGTGAGTAGGTTGTGGCATGTTGGTGGGTTATGCCTTCTCGGTGTGGATAGTGTTGCAGCGATGTTGCGGCGTGCTTTCGTTGGTGCAGTTCAGAGCTGAAGGTCATATACGTGACCGATGCATCCGGACAAGTGGTGAAGGGTATCCCATGCTTGTTTGCTGAGGTGGGAGACTACCCCGAGTCGTCCAGTTGCACGGCGACAATGCAGCAGGGTTCACACTGGCCTTGCAGCTCCTGCTACATCAAGAAGACCAGTCTGGCCGACCTGGGTCGGAGATGACCGTGAGGACCGTTAAACTGCACCGGAAGGTGGTGTCGTGGATGCAGAACGCTTCCAAAAAGGACGATGCTGACAAGATCCGAAGGCGATGGTCAACACACCCCCTGCAGGTCAGCGATGTCCGCTGCCGACGTAGATGTTTGTCGTCATTCGGTGGAGTATGTTCAAGTTAATGGTCAGGGTGCGTTGTGGTGTTGGGTTGGGTGCAGACGGTACTGGAGAGGTGGAATTTTTCAGAGACGACATGGGGAAACGTATTTCTCGCTTGCGTGGCGGACGTGCTGCATGTGCTGGACGAAGGGTTCCTTGGACACATGGTGGACGAGTTCATCTATCCCCTCAGCAAGCCGGAAAGGAGGGAGCTGGAGAGGTGGGTGTCCCAGGTCTACGTCGGCTGCGGGCGCATTGGTATTTTCTTCCTGATTCAAAGGCTTTTTGGTCGTCCGTGTGCAGGCGCAAGTAGGAGCAGAAGAAGGACACTCGCTCCACGGTTGTCCGTATCCCGGGTGGAACTTCGTGGTTCAAGTCACGGGCAAACTACGCGGCGTTCGAGAACAGGGGCATGATGCAGGTGATGCCGATACTCATCGCGGACAACATGGAAGGGTGCGAGCCTGAGGAGAAGGAGCAGCGTTTCAAGGAGGTGAGGGCGTTCCGGAGGTACGCGGTGTTCTACAAGTCGCTGCTCGGCGTGAGCATGCACACGGAGAGGACACTCAGTGGCGTGCGACAGAACGCGTACATGTGAGTGTGGTCATGTGTGGTGTGCAGATGGGTGGGAGAGGCTGTGGTGGGTGAAGAGGGTGATGTGGATTCAATGGTGCCTACGTTCTTAATCATGGGTGTGGTTGTGGCACAATACGGCATGGTTGGTTGCATGTACACGAGCACACTAATCATGTGCTCGCATGGATGTCGTGTCACAAGATGGTGGACGCAGTACAGGACGCCTTTCGATCGCAAGCGTCATCGTGGAACTTACCAAAGGTGCATCAGATAATTCATCTCATTGACGGCATCATGCTCAGGGGGATGCCGTTTGAGTACTCAACTAACCTGCGGGAGCACACTCACAATGGCACCGTGAAGGTGCCCGTGCGCGGGAGTAACTGGAAGGACATTCCCCGACGAATCGTGGAGGAGGAGGTGCAGAGAGAGATCACACGGGAGGTGGCGGCCTTGGCGGGCGGAGGAAGGCAGTACGTCAGTGCGCTGCGTGAGGTGAGATGGCTTAGACGGCTGACTCGTAGGAATGTGGGACGCGGAGAGGATGACAGACTATGACGATCATGGTGGGAGATATGGACCACGTGTGGATGTATGCAGGGGTGGCCATGCACACCCAGGACAGATGATGTCAGAATGAACGGACAGGAATGGTTGAACTAACAGTGAAATCAGTACAAGTACCTAACCCTAGAATTGTGTACCCCCTATAGGCTAACCCACTGTAGCCTAAACAAACACAACATATATAATGTTTGACACACCCCCATAGGCGAAGTGGGGGAGAACTAGGGGTCACAAGACCGGTCAAGGCAAAGCAGGACACAACAAGCTCAGGGTGGATCTCAAGGATTCCACACAAATTCCGAGCACAAGCAAGTGGTCACAAGACCAGTTCACATGCAGGTTTATAATAGAGCAAGAGGTACAATGATCACAACCTAGCAAGAGTAAACATGCAGGTATATATATAGAGATCACAGTACAAACAGAGTCAAGAAGTAAGCAAGTGAGGTCCAGTAGGCACAAGGCCTAGCAGAGTGCAAAAGCGCTGATGGTCACAAGGCTGAAGCGCCTTGGTGAACACATCAGCAGTGTTGGCCTCAGTGGCCACGTAACGCAGACAAAGCTGACCGCGCTGCTGCAGCTCTCGAGCAAGGAAGTACCGCAGGGCGATGTGCTTCGTTCTGTGCTCCAGTCTGTGCTCCTCACACAAGGCAATGGCAGCCTTGTTGTCGACGTACAGCACTGGAGGAGAACGAGGCCGCTCTCCCAAGTCGGTCAGCAGGTAGGTCAGCCAGCGTAGCTCCTGGGCCGCCATGGCTGTGGCGTAGATCTCAGCCTCACAACTGGAGCTGAGAACAGAAGAAGAGCGTGTGGAACGCCAAGAAACTGAGCCGGAGCCAAGGCTGAAGGTGTAACCCTGAGACGACCGCTGAGTAGCCTGGTCGTCCGCCCAAGAAGCGTCTGAGTGACCAGTGAGTACAACTCGGTCTCGCCCTCCAAGCACTAGCCCCATGCCCGACGTACTGCACAAGTAGCGCAACACCCTCTTAGCAGCATCCATGTGCTCCTTCCTGTGACGGCCAGGAGCGACATAGCGTGCAAGGATGCTAAGAGGGTATGCAAGGTCAGGTCGAGTGCAGGTCATCAGGTACATGAGGCAGCCCACAAGCTCTGGATACGGGCCACTCGGCTCTACGGACTCATCCGAAGGCAGAGCTGAGAGCGAGTGACCGGTAGGCAGAGGAGTAGACTGAGGCGAGGAGTACGTGAAGCGGAAGCGCTGAAGGACCAGCTGCACCATGTGTGACTGAGTCAGGGTGATGGTGCGCCGTGCTCTGTCCCGGGTGATCCGCAAGCCAAGGTAGCTTGTCAGTTCACCCAGGTCTGTGCACGTGTGTCTCCTCTGCAGCTCCGACTTCACGTGGGCGAGAGCCTCAGTGTCAGCAGTGGCAAAGACCAAGTCGTCGACGTACACGAGGATGTAGAACGGCGGCAACGAAGTGTCGGTGCGCAGAAACAGCGACGGGTCAGCAGTAGAAGGTGCGAACCCAAGTGCCGCAAGTGTCGTCCTCAGTGTGTCGTGCCACTCACGTGGAGCCTGTCGGAGACCGTAGACCGGCCGCTGGAGCCTCCACTGGGTACCAGGAGGAAACGACCCAGTGAAGCCAGGAGGGCGGCGCAGCCAGATCTCCTCGTGCAGGCTGCCCTGCAAGAAAGCAGTGCTGAAGTCAAGTGAGTGAAGCTTGTAGTCGCGCTGAGCGGCTATGTGCAGCAGCACCCGAAGAGTAGTCATCTTCGGGGTGGGGGAGAAGGTCTGGAAGAAGTCTACTCCCTCTCGCTGACTGAAACCTCGAGCAACATAGCACGCCTTGAAGACAGGCGGAGAACCCGGCGGCTGCTTCACCCTGAAAATCCACATGCCACTGATGATGTTCGCCCCAGGTGGGGGAACCTCGTCTACGTATGTGCCTGTGGACTTCCAGGAAGCCATCTCTGCGTCCATGGCTGTTTGCCACTGAGAGGAGTAGGGACCCGCCATCGCCTCAGCGTAAGAGCGCGGGGTCGGGATGTCTGGTGCATCCGGGTCTCCCTCAGGGGCAACTAGCATGGACACGAGATGGGGCAAAGCAGCAGCAAAGCACTGGAACTCCTCCTGTCTGTCCTCAACGACGTTAGTACCAAGAGCACACTCACCCCCGACGGATGGAGGACAGACAGACTCAGACTCAGACTCAGCAACAAGGCTAGCGGCGTAGTCTAGACGACACCGGGCAGCAAAGTCAACCAACTCAGCGACAAGAGCAGACGCAGCAGAGGACTCAAAGGTAGGGTCAGTGACAACAGTGGCGAGAAGACGCGTGACAGTGGGACTGGCAGCACGACGGGAGTCAGACTCCGGGTCAGGAAGAGTAGGTAGGGAGGACGCAGGAGGAGACGGCAGAGGGACACGCTGAGGAGCAGTGGAGGGACGTAGAGTCATGTAGTGAGTGCTAGGGACAGGAGGAGGACGCTCACACGACGACCAGTGCGAGCAGTACGAACAGGCGACGCAGGACGAGACTCAGGCTCACGACGCTCTGTAAGACCTCTTGTGGGACCAGTGTAAGGAGAGGGACCAGGGAGAGGCGAGGCAGGCGGTAACTGTGACTGCAACTGGACAGGCGGAGGACACTCTACGGAGGGAGGAGGACAAGGAGGAGGAGCCTGACCAAGAACCTGCTGAAGGAGCGGTACGAAGTACGGTCGCGGCCGCGCAGCGTCTCCAGAAGCAGCAGAGACACCAGCGCCAGGGTCCTCAGCACCAGCAGCAGCTCCACCGCTCGGGTCCTCAGCACCAGCAGCAGCTCCACCGCCCGGGTCCTCAGCACCAGTAGCAGCTCCACCGCCCGGGTCCTCAGCACCAGCAGCAGCTCCACCGCTCGGGTCCTCAGCACTAGCAGCAGCTCCACCGCCCGGGTCCTCAGCACCAGCAGCAGCTCCACCGCCCGGGTCCTCAGCACCAGCAGCAGCACCACCGCCCGGGTCCTCAGCACCAGCAGCAGCTCTACCACCCGCGTCCTCAGCACCAGCAGCAGCTCCACCGCTCGGGTCCTCAGCACCAGCAGCAGGGTCCGCAGCACCAGGAGCACCACTCCGAAGACTGCAGCGCCGCGTGTACCACTCTCGGATCTGCTGAAGGGAGGGGAGCTCCCGGGTAGGAGGGGAAGCACTGGTACCAGCTCCAGCAGCACCTCTCCGGGGGCTGCAGTACTGCAGGTACCTCTCCTGCAGCTGCTGTGAGGAGAGGGCTCCTCCAGGTGTAGCACTCTCAGGCTCAGCACCTCCAGACTCAGCACCCCCAGACTCAGCACCTCCAGACTCAGCACCCCCAGGCTCAGCACCCCCAGACTCAGCACCTCCAGGCTCAGCACCCCCAGGCGCAGCACCCCCAGGCTCCGCACCTCCAGGCTCCGCACCCCCACGCTCAGCACCACCAGGCTCCTCATGCGCAGGCTCAGCTCCCCTAGCAGGACGAGACTCGACAGCTACCTCGACAGGCTCAACCGGGTCTACCTGGGACACACCTGAGGGAGCGGCACCCTGAGGGGGGAGGGGGTCTACCACAGCAGCACCTGGCGCGAGGAAGAGAGGCGGGGGGGGGGGAGCGGGGCAGTGCGGTAGGGGAAGAGGCGGTAGTAGGGGACGGACTCGTCAAAAGTGACGTCCTGAGAAGGCAGAACCCGGCGCGAGGTGACGTGGTAAAACTGCCAACCAGGCGCGTCCGGGACAAAGCCAAGGAAGACACAGGGGACAGCGCGACGGGAGAGCTTGTCCGCGGACGTGTCGCGAACAAAAGCTCGGGATCCCTAGACCCGAAAACGCGACGCATCGCCAACCTCTCCCGTCCAACGCAGTGTCGGAGAAGTCTCCGGCAAGGAGACACGGGGCCAGAGGTTGAGCTGATGCGCAGCGTATCGGACCGCAAACGGCCACAGAAAGTGGGGAGCAGCCGCATGGATCAGGGAGGTACGAGCGACCTCCATGACCAAGCCAATGCGGCGCTCAGCAACCCCATTCTGCTGTAGAGAGGCCGGAAGCGTGAACGACTGCTCAATGCCGTGCTCGGCACAGTAGGCTGCCAAGAGGTCGGAGGAGAACTCACCACCTCTGTCAGAGTGCAAGCGCAGGACAGGAAAGTCCGAGCGAAAACGCTTGCCTAGCTGGAGACGAGCTCTGCTGATCCAAGGGATCAAGACATCAGGGACCTCACCCTTGGTGCGCAAGGGGAAGACCGTGGTGTAGCGAGAGTAGTCGTCAACAACAATAAGGAAGGACCTCTCCTGACCCTGTCCACGGACGCGGGCTGGGCCCCACACGTCCAGGTGGAGCGTCTGCAAGGGAGCAGTCGTTGGGGGAAACGAGGAGGAGTGAGGAGCGGCGCGCTGCCGCCCCTCGACACAGGGAAGACAGGGAGGAGCAGGCGAGGGTGGGAGGGGAGGGAGCACCCTGGGAAGACCAGAGACAAGCTGCCGTTTGTGCATGGCACGAAGGCGCTGCACAGACGGGTGGCCAAGTCGGTGGTGCCAGAGGACGGTGTCGTGCGCCAGAGAGCGACACGAGCAGGGGGCCGACAGCTGACCTGACGCAGACGCAGACGCGGACGCAGCTACCTGAGGGGACTCAGTGGTCAGTGTGTACAGGTCCGACCCCGGCTGCCGAGTGAAGGTAGCCAGGTGACGGCCCGTCCGAGCACACGTGCAGTGTGTCACGCGCTCGTAGGCGGGGGTGAACTGGTGAACACCCGCGTCCTGGAGCGCACAGCCCGCCACCAAGTTCGTAGAGAACGAGGGGAGGTGGAGACCAGACAGTGTGCCAGACGGGACCGCAGGACAGGGAAGAACAGTGGAGGAGGTCGAGGGTGAAGGTGTGCAGTGCCTCAGTCGACTCAGTACCAGGGGAGACAGACTCACTAGCACCTAGAGCGACAGCCTCACCATCACCTGAGGTGGCAGACACGCGAGTACCTGCAGTGGCAGCCTCACTAGCACCTAGAGCAGCAGCCTCACTGGTCAGAATGCCCGGGTCGGGCGGAACACGCAAGTACTGAGCACCCTCTCCACTAGTAAACATCGCATACATGGCAGTGAGAATAGCATCAAAGTCTAGAGCCCAGATATCAACTCCCTTCCTCTCCAGATCAAGCCAGCGGGGCAGCTCACCGCCATTAGGGTACTGGGCGCGCCAAGCGTCGTCAAGGCGCGAGAAACAGCGGTGCGTGGGGTGCGGCCTCCCACACGTCTGACCAGTGCAGTCACTAGTGCGGATGACGTACGTGCAGCTAAAGCCACGCGCCCCCGGGCGCTGGGAATACCACTCACGGGCCTCCTGGAGCGACGGAGTGTGCTGCTGGCTCAGACCACCGCCAGCTCCTCCACGACCACCACCGCCGCCGCCACCTCCTCGACCACCTCCTCCTCTGCCGCTGCCACGACCACCTCCGCCCCCGCTGCCGCCCCCGCCCCTGCCACCGCCCCCGCCGCTGCCGTCACCACCCCCACTGCCGCCACTAGCCTCTCCAGCCCCTCCTCCACTCCCACCGCCTCCACCCCCGCCTCCCCCGCCGCCACCTCCACCCCTGCCCCCTTTGTTCCTGCGGCGTCCGCTCGGCACCAAGGAGGTCGACAGCAGCAGCAGAGGCGACAGAGGGGAGAAGGGGGGAAGGGGAACACCCCTCAAAGAAGGGGGTGCGGGGCTCGCCACGAGAGGCACCTACAGCGACGATGCTCGCCTCAGCTGCAAGGAGTTCCTTCTCGAGGAGGGCAATGGTGAGCTCAGTGGGGCAGCGAGCTAGAAAGTGATCCCTGACTGCGCGCAGAGAGTCAGGGAGGCGGGTGACGATGTGGTAGAGAGTGAGCCAGAGGGGGGGGGTTGCTAGCAAGGAACTCGTCAGGCATAGCAGCGCGGAAGCGGGCCTCACTAGTCTTGAGGTGGGTGATGAGGTCAGCAACTGTGTGAAAGGAGGCCAGGTCGGGGAACAGGTAGGGGAGTGAGAGGCGGCCTAGTGCGGCAGAAGCAGGTGAGGAGTAACGAGCGACGACAGCAGTGTACAGGTCCTTAGCAGTTTTGTGCTGGCCAAAGTGCTCGCGCTCATCTAGCGGCAGGGAGTTGCGAATGGCAAAGCGAGCGTGGGCGTCACGAGTCTGCCACTGTGAGCGCTGAGTGCTGTCAGCAGTGGAAGGAGGGGCAGTAGCATGGCCTAGGGCGTGATCGTACAGTGAGATGTCCTCCTTGGCAGTGAGCTGTAGGAAGAGGTGGAGGTCATCGAGCCAGGTGTCGAACTTCACTGGGCGGCCCTCAGCATCGAAAGCGAGTACAGGAGGAGTAGCCATAGTGGCAGTAGGAACAGGGCCGGCGGTGCCTCTGTGCGGAGTGCGGGCGGCGCGGTTCGGTTCAGGTAGGGCGGCGCGGCTCGGGTCGCGTGGCTCGGCTCGGTCCTGGAGGGGCTGCGGCGGTCGCGGGCCGTTCGGGGCCTCTAGGGGCAAGCGCGGGCCGTTCGGGGCCTCTAGGGGCGAACGCAGGGCCGTAAGGGGCCTCTAAGGGCGAGTGCGGGGCCGACGGGGGGCCTCTAGGGAGGCGAGCGCGGGGCCGACGGGGCCGTAAGGGGCGAGCGCGGGGCCGACGGGGCCGTAAGGGGCGAGCGCGGGGCCGACGGGGCCGTAAGGGGCGAGCGCGGGGCCGTAAGGGGCGAGCGCGTGGGCCGACGGGGCCTTAAGGGGCGGCGCGCGGGTCGCTAAGGGGCGGGTCGCGGATCGCGAGGCCTTAGGGGGCCGTGAAAAACGAGGCGCCCTAGGGCGCTCCGGTAGGTAGGTAGGTAGGTAGGTAGCGGTGGGCCCTTAAAAAAACGGTCCTAGCGAAGGACCTGCTCTGAAACCATGTCAGAATGAACGGACAGGAATGGTTGAACTAACAGTGAAATCAGTACAAGTACCTAACCCTAGAATTGTGTACCCCCTATAGGCTAACCCACTGTAGCCTAAACAAACACAACATATATAATGTTTGACAGATGACAGTGTGGTGGTGTTTTAATCAACATGCGTCTCAAATGGTGCGATGTGGAACACAGTGGGTTCTATTATGCTGGTGTTTGCGTGCATATCGCGGATGTCCTCTGTTTCAGGCGGTGAGGCTTCAAACGTACATCCTGACAAGAAAGTCGAGGACGGCGGACGTGAGCGACGGGGAGGACGCAGTGCTGTGGGCGTACAAGGAGGCATTAGGGTCAGACATGAAGGAGCTGGGCAGGTGCCTGGCAGCCGCTGGTGTGACGGGCACCGCCATCAAGGTGAGCACAATTGGAGACCTCTGGACGCTGCGCGGACAGTGACGTGTGTTCATAAATGACAGGGCGGGGGGGGGCGTTCACTGGTTGTTTTGTGTTGGCATGCGCTGAGTTCCCTTTGAACACCGGATGTACAGGTACACACTGCGGTGGCCATTACGCGTACGCGTGGCGGGGAGCTTGTGGCCAAGGGCACGGTTGTGAAGGCCAGCTCGTCCGAGATGTGGTTTTTGGACGTCGCTGTCAGGGCGAAGACGGAGGAGGAGGAGTGGTACGCACGATGCCTGTGCGTGTTCCGTGCAATGGACGCGGAGGGGACGGAGGGGAGGTACGCATATGTTAAGTACTATGAGGCGGCCGGAGTTTGCCCCATGACCACCTGCGTGCAGCTAACCCCTGGGCGGGTTTCCACTCGCTGACGTGGAGTGCATCAAGCGGGTGGTGCATGTGTGCAAATCTTATGTGAACAAGAAGGTCATGCTGCTCAACAAGTTTCTTCTGTGTGAGTAGGCGCACCTTAAGTTTTAAGGACGGCTTATGTTTTGAGGACGCGCTCGCGGACGTGTGAATTAATTTGTATAGGATTTGTCATGTTGGTCTTGGTGGTAGGACCACGTGTTTCAGCAATTAGGACGGCCAATGCAGTGTGTTGTGGGACACGCGTGACCTTTGATGACCTCTTATGCTACATCTTTCGTGTACTGAACTGCGTAGTGTAGCGAACATCAGTGAATGCAGCTTGTATGCGGGTTGGTTGTATGAGGGACGCACGTGTGGATGTGTTCGGGCCGCTGAAAATGGACATGCGGCCCGTTGTGAAATTGTAATGTGCGGTGCGAGAGAGGCGACGCGGTGCCAATGCAGGCCTTTGAGGCAGTGACTGAAAGGTTACGAAATTGGCGGGATGTTGGCGGGGTGTGTTGGGACTTTCTGTGGGTTTTTTTGTAGATAAACCCACGAGAGCCAAATTTGGGGGGCTGCCAATTCCGCGATGATTGGTGGGCGACGAGTACGAAATACTACGCGGAAGCATCAGACGGATCTTCGAAAACCGTCAGCAAGGAGGTATGTCCATTTCTGGGAAATGTGGCCTCACCCAAGTGAAAATTTTGAGGCTGGAAAAAGGTGCTCTCAGGACCAGGCTGGAAAAGCAGTAGATCCGAAGGTATTATCCGCCGAGTCGGCAGAAGCTGCGACGGATTGAACGATGTCCATGCAGTGTTTCAAGCATTCGCCAAATCTTCGCTAAAAAACAATCTACATTCCACCCCCTACCATTCCCAGGTGAACCTCACCAAGGTTATCTAGGACAAAGGGTCTCGCGGAAAGAAGCTCGGCCCAAGAGGTCCCTGGAAAAGTGAGTTTCTTCTCAGCATAGCTGTTTTCCTCTCGTAAAACCTGTCTCCTGTTTGCAAAGCATTTCGGAGTCATTCCACTTACCTCTTTCTGCCGTAAATTCAAAGCTGTCTTCCCAGAATCGTACTAATCTCTGGCCCCTCATTTCTTTTTACAGTTGCAAAGAGCAGGATCTCTACAAAAAAAATTCCGCCACAATCCATGCCTGTCAATATTACAAGACTGGAATGATTGAACTAACAGAGAAATCAGTACAAATAGCAAACCCTAGAATTGTGTACCCCATACTGGCTAACCCACTGTAGCCTAACAAACCAAACATATATAATGTTTGACACACCCCCATAGGAAAAGTGGGGGAGACCTAGGGGTCACAAGACCAGTCAAGGCAAAGTAAGGCAAACAAGCTCAGGGTGGATCTCGAGGATTCCACACAAATTCCGAGCACAAACAAGCGGTCACAAGACCAGTTCACATGCAGGTTTATAATAGAGCAAGACGTACAATGATCACAACCTAGCAAGAGTAAACATGCAGGTATATAAATATATAGCGATCACAGTACAGGCAAAGTCAAGAAGTGAGCAAGTGAGGGCCAGTAGGCACAAGGCCTAACAGAGTACAGAAGCGCTGATGGTCACAAGGCTGAGTGTTGGCCTCAGTGGCCACGTAACGCAGACGAAGCTGACCGCGCTGCTGCAGCTCTCGAGCAAGGAAGTACCGCAGAGCAATGTGCTTCGTTCTGTGCTCCAGTCTGTGCTCCTCACACAAGGCAATGGCAGCCTTGTTGTCGACGTACAGCACTGGAGGAGAACGAGGCCGCTCTCCGAGGTCGGTCAGCAGGTAGGTCAGCCAGCGCAGCTCCTGAGCAGCCATGGCTGTGGCGTAGATCTCAGCCTCACAACTGGAGCTGAGAACAGATTACGAGCGTGTAGAACACCACGAATTGCGTGCCCATAACCCCCCAGGCCGACGTGCCTGTAACCCTTCCCTAGGATCATCGGGGATCCCCAGTGGACCTCTGACACCCCCCCGCACTGGGATGCCCGAAGTGCACACACCGGGATTCGAACCCGAGACCTTCGCTCTGATAACATGTCAGAATCCCAGCCACTAACCACTGGGATAAAAGGGCTTGTTTATGTAGCGGGTGAGTGCGCCCATAACCCCCCAGGCCGCCATGCCTGTAACCCTTCCCTAGGATCATCGGGGATCACCAGTGGACCTCTGACACCCCCCCGCACTGGGATGCCCGAGGTGCACACACCGGGATTCGAACCCGAGACCTTCGCTCTGATACCATGTCAATATTACAAGACTGGAATGATTGAACTAACAGAGAAATCAGTACAAATAGCAAACCCTAGAATTGTGTACCCCATACTGGCTAACCCACTGTAGCCTAACAAACCAAACATATATAATGTTTGACAATGCCCAAATCTAGGTTTCCCCCATCCATGCGCACTGACCTTTTCGTGAGAAATCGCAGAGGTGACTTCAGACATTCTTCGCGTGGGTAAGGAGTGCTGAAGCATTGCGGAAACATTGGGACACGCAGAACAACAATGCATCCCCTTCCCCATTGTCTCTGCAGGTGTTCCAGCAGTTCGCATCCCACCAGCCTCGCACGTGCGAAAATGGGTTGGTGGAGCGATTTCACCACGGTTTTGTTCGATGTACAGTGGTGTAATAGCATCACAACGAACCCACAAAAGTCGCAGCTTGAAGTTGATATTGAATTCGCACAAGTTGAACTTTCGTGGCGTTATAGCAATCGCATATATAGCGAGAATGCAGTTAGTTGGATAAGGCGCTGCTGACGCGTCAAAAACGCTGTGATTTGAGAGGTGCGGTGTGACAGCGCGGATTTGGTTTGGACTCATGTTGCAAATAAGAGCGTGTTACGTACCCCTTAAATTGGTGGCAGGCCCCGGTTGCCTGTAAAAGTCGACCCGACCTGTCTGGTCGGGTCGACCGGTGGGCGGTTGGGTACCTAGCAGGCAACCTGCAAATGTACCAACCACCTGTTTTGAAGACCCAACCAGCCTACAAATTTTAGGGCAGACCCAACAGTCACTAAACCAATCAGTGTGAACCAAACCTTGATTTTTGTTTTCGTGAACCAATCACGTTCAGATTCGATAGTGCAACCTACCCCCAATTTTAATTGTACCACTGGTTGCATTGCAGGTTGGTACGTTCGTGGCTGGTTGCCCCAACCAGCTGGTTGTGGGCGGGACTATATGGTCGCATAGACCACCTAGTCGCCTCGACCAGGTGTGATTGTGCTCTGGTACAAACGTCAAGTACTATACATGTCAAACATTATATATGTTGTGGTTGTTTAGGCTACAGTGGGTTAGCCTATAGGGGGTACACAATTCTAGGGTTAGGTACTTGTACACTCTTCACTGCTAGTTCATTCATTCCTGTCTGTTGATTCCGACATGGTTTCAGAGCAGGTCCTTCGCTAGGACCGTTCCACCGCTACCTACCTACCTACCTACCGTGCGCCCTCGTGCGCCTACGCGCCCCAGTGCGCCTCCTACCTACCGCGCGCGCGCAGCCCGCCAGCCAATCGCGCGAGGCTTTTTTTTTTTTTTTTTTTTTTTTTTTTTTTTTTTTTTTTTTTTTTTAACCGCGCGCGACCCGCTAGCTGCCTGCTATCAAAATACTAGCGTGAGAATG